AAAATTTGTCCTTTGGAAATAGGGTTCCATTCTGGTATGTACTCTTTTCGTTATCCGATGATAGAGTTTATACGAATCGTTTCACAATTAATCAGGTTTCGAGCCTAAACACGGGAATTAAAATCCCCGCCGACCAAAAACCGTTTCCTAACGCCCTGAAATTTCGTATTAATATCAGTCTGTGTAAGTCAAAAAAGTTTTTTACAATTGATCCAAACATCGTACGCGAAGGCCGAATCTTCACCCCCATAGATATATTTGCACATAAAATAATATATCCTGAATCGAATTTAAAAAAAAGTTTGGCAATCAAGTTCTAAATCCATAAAAAAAAGTATCTGTGGTTTCTTATTATCTCAAAAAAACCCGGCTCTAATTTTCCCCTTTTTAACATAAAAAAGACTATCCAAACCAAATGGAAATTTTTGCTCTTTTCCTTTTTTTTGAAATTTTTTGTAGAAAAAATTTGTGTAACCTTCTAAAAATTTTTTTAAATATTTTACTGGTCCAGAATTTAAAAAAAAAGGAAAAAATATCCTGAATTTTTATAAATTAATTTTGGGAAAATTCTTTTACTATCTTTGGTTTTTCAGCAGGGAAAATCCCAATTTTCAGTTCCAAAAAACTAAATTTTTAAAATCAAACCCCCCCCTGAAACTGCCCACGAAAAAATTTACCAAAAATCCCCCGGTTTTGTGTAAATTTCCCCGTCGACAAAAAAATTTTATTTGTCTTTTTTTAAATGCATCTTTCTTTTTCTTTCCGAGCTTTCAAAATGAAATTGGTTAAATTAAAAACTTTCTTTCTTCTTGCTGTCTCTTATTTTCTTGAGGATATTGATTCGTGCATATAAATTTCCCTGACGCCTTCGAATCTACAAATTGTCCTTAAAATTTTTACATAATAATTTTCATTTTTTCCTCTTGAAATACTACTAGGATATTTTCTCGGTTTGGTCATTCTTTTTTCGGACCCCAGACGTTTTAAACTGAATTAGGTTTTTTATAATCACCATTTCCTCATGGCCGGAATCTTCAAAATCCTTTTGAAATACTTCGATTACAAACAAATTCATTTAGTCTGTTTTCCCATGGTCCTCGTTCTGATTTTCCTCAGCTATAAAACACCAAATAATTAAATTTGTCATCATAGCCTTAAGCCTGCATGTCAAACACTTCGGGTCCTTTATGCGTCTATTTTCACTCTTTTCAAACTTTGAAACATTATCCTTTGTTTTTCCTCAAATCAAAATCATGACTTCAACTGGCCTCTCCTAAAACATCAGAAGATTTTTTTTTCATTTTTGGACACGACCCTTTAAAATTCTAAATCAGACCACAAAGCCTTGGTATTTTTATTATCAATGTCACCAAACATTTTCTGTTCTAAAAAGACTCAAGCTTTCCAAAAGTTCTGGTAAATATTGTCCTCAAACTTACTGTTTTAAAAAATCCATCAAGTCCAGCAATAATTCACAAAGGTTTTTTACTTGTCTGTTTTTGATTTGCAACCCGTTTGTACACTGGTTCCGAAATTCTGTTGCATATGTCATGGGTTGTTTGATTGCGTTTATTTAAGGGCCAAACAGCAACGTGCAAACAATCAAAAATCAACAAGTACGCTATTTTTTAATTGTCGGCGAAAAAAATGTATAGAGTGAAATAAAATAAACAAAACAAAGTTTTTTTAAATCAACGTTTCCAAAAAAAATTCGTTATTCTACACACGAAGAAGATTTAACGGACAGTTTTTTTTTCATACCACTGGAAACGGCCTGAAAGAAGTTTCTATTGAAAAACTCTGAAAGGCCGAAAAAACAAAATTTTTTAAGCCCACCAAACATAAAGTCCAACATTAATAATAATTATTATATTTTTTCTTGAAAAAACCTAATGCATAAACCACGTGTCAAAAGGTGCCGTAAGATTCAAGTAAAAATATACGGCACCTTTTTATCGGGCCGAAATTGATACAAGTGACAGGATAAGTACATGTATAATTTGCACAGCATGATTGCGCGTTCAATGCCGCAAAAGTTAAGATCCATGCGCTTGTTTAATAAAAATGTGGAAAAGGGAGATAACATGCAATGATACGGTCTGAGCCTGTTTAAACTAGTACCATTCAACGGATATCGAAATTTAACAGCTAACTGTCTAGTTTATTATTATTATTATTAATTTATTTTTATTAGTTCTACTACTGCTGCTGCTACTGCTGTCTACTACTACTACTACTACTACTACTACTACTACTACTACTACTACTACTACTACTACTACTACTACTACTAATTCCACTACTACTAATACTACTACTACTAATACTACTACTAAAGGTGTAATTAGCTTACCGTCAAAGCAGTTTCGAAATCTTGAAAATTATGTCCTGTCTCGACATGTCAAAAAATATCAATCCAAAAATTATTTATCCCTTTTAAAACAATGTTCTGGGCGGAATTCAAACGAAACAATGTCTGTTGCATTCAAATTGTTACAATAAAGGGAATAGGGGTGCTGCAAATAACTCAACATAAGAAATAATAGTCATTGTCTTTTATAACTTTATTACTTTAAACTAAGTTAACAATCGCCAAAGTTTTTAACTTGAAGAAGTACGATGTCCACATCTTTGTTTTTCGTACTCACAGCTGAAATATAAATAATTTGGAATAATTAGAATACACGCACGTGTGTTGTACATGTGTGGCAATTAAAAAATTTTGATTGCACTATACTTTATTGTTTCACACAGTTTATCTCTCCCTTCTTTTGAAAGATTGAACTTCGGCATTTTCCGTTGATCATATTATATAGAGACACTATTTTAAGTTACACTTTGACGAAAAGAAGTTTATAAAACAATGAAATTACGAACAATGCCAAATTTTCACGATCTTGCAACTGATATATTACATTATTGTCAGTTGATAATATTTCAGTTACGAATTAACCTCAAATCGGACTAGAAATCCTAGGTTTGTTGGTCACTTTATTTAATGCCAATATAAATAATAACAAAATATTTTTATCCATGTTTGAGTCATTACCATATGTTGTTGATATGTAAATGAACTGCTAAATTATATGTTTCATTATTTTCTTAATTTGAATTTTATGCAGTACGCTCTTTGAAATAATTCTCATTAAACTGTGAATATCAAATTTACATGTTATAAAACTAGGGTTTTTTTCCATTTTGGGCGACCTTTTTAAGTTGACATATTTTCATCTCGAGACTGATGCTTTTTTTAATCCTTTATTTAAAGGAGGAATCATTTTTGGAGTACGTGGTTGTCTCGTGGTCATGGTTATTTATGTTGATGTAAAATAAAGCTGGTTGAAAAGGCAGAAATGTGTTTGACCGAGTAATAAACTTCTGAAATGGCACCATTGAATTTTTGTTATATATTCATCCAAGACACGGGCGTGTGATATCATAAGTAATTTAAATGAAATTCAACATAAACTTAGTGTTGTTTTTAAAACCACGACAAGATTAAAGATGCAAGCCCATATATTATGTCTAACGTTTACCTTATTTTTTTATGTTGAGAAGACGAATACATCGTGTTACCTTTGGTCACATATTCCTTGTTATATAAACTATCTATCTATATGTGCATGTACATTGAATAAAACATTTCTCAAAAAAAAATGCTTTCAAAAAATTAATACTCCTTAAATAATTCATATAATTTATCAGTTTTATCAGTAATTTGTATACGGGCTAGATGGAATGAAAAAGTATTCGATTTTGTCTCATTTTGTTATACTACTCAAATTTACTTAATCTCAAAACAAGCATGACGACAGCAGTTTTATACATGTATATAAAAAATAACACCAATGCTTAAGTGACGTTAATGTATATATATGTGTTATAAAATTATCTATAACATGATAAAGTCAGTTATCTTTGTAGATTTAAAAAAAAGAAGAAAGGGACCATAAAATTTGTTGTTCAAACTATTGAATTTCTTAAATGGACTTTTCCATTTTTAGAATATTCATTATATTTTTCGGTAGGATATATAGATGAAAATTATAAAATTAGTCAGCCAACTGCCTAGAGAATGGTTCGGTGGCACCGTATGACCAACGGAAATTTCTATATACATGTATATAGTTCAGAATGTATCAGTAACGCTCAACTTTTGAAAAAGTGGAACAGTCTTTTCATGATTAAGGTAGCTTTTATATTGTATCATAAACATTTTTCATTATCAATTATTAATCAGTCACTATTATAATAGCCAGTCTTTTGAAACTGTTTACTTATTTAACTCAACATGACAGTAAATAAATAGCATAAAGTCACCACAAATGTCAACATACAAAAGCAATTTACATGCATTATCATATGAAGAGTTAATGTTTATGCCACAATAAGTATTTACAATATTGTATTAGTACAAACATCAACTACTTAGAACAAAATACCGAAAACAAAAACAAAACAAAACAAAAAAGAAAAACACTGATCTACCTGATTAAAATACTTAAGAATAGCAAAAATATCTCCATTTACTAATCTAAAACATCCAAATTTCAAGTATGTTACTCATTTAATCGATGTATTATCGATATGTACCTGAACAAATTAAAAGTATTTGATAATACACACCATGATGTAACAATGCAAGATAGTCATATAGACGGTAAACAATGTATTTATTAAAGTAATTCTGAATAAACGAAAGCAGCTTGCTTAAAGTCAGAATGCGGAAAAGTGTATTTGACAAGCTTGTTAACTCTTTATTCCTAGTGATAGTGATTAATTTGATACTATTTTGTTGCACTGACTCTGTCGAAAGTCTTTGTACAGGTGTCGGTCCAAACGGAGATGAAAACTTGAAAAACACTTGCGACTGGAGTTCATGGTATCCATGGAATTGTACCCAGTGTAAGTCTTCTAATACTAATCGGCAACAGTTTAGACAGCGTGCGATATGTTGTGCACAGAATGTACAATTAAAGACTTGTTTGGGAAACTGTAACGTGACACACAGTATGCCAACTGTAGTAAGGAATGTGATTTCAATAATGGAAGTTTGGAAATAAATTCTACAGGTATGTAATTGTTAAATCGAAATGGAGATGAAAATGTCTAAAATGTTTTGGTCTCGACTATCCAGCTTTACCAGGGGAAGTCAGAAAATATCCGGACTTTTGACTCGTTCTCGAAAACCATTCAACATTTTAAAAAAAAATCTTTCTACTCTTTTTCAAAATATTCTCCACCTACGTCTACGCACTTTTGCCATCTTCGTGGGAGCTTTTGTATTCCCGCTGTGAACCATGACGTAGACCTTTGTTTTAGGTACTGTGTAACAGCAGATATCAAAGCCATCCTGGTCTTATATTTCTTTCCAGCAGTTCTGGAAACAAATAAATTCACAGGGGGCGAGGTCTGGGCTATAAGGAGGGTGAAACAACAATTGCCATTTGTAAGAGTTGATAACCTCCACTGTAGCTGCGGCGGTATGGTAGGGGCGTTATCGTGAAGAAGGAGGACATTTTTCTGTGCTAACCTGGAACGCATTTGCTTCAGCTTTTCTCTGAGATTTTTCAGAATTACTTCAGAATAGTACTTGGCGGTGACAGTATGACCTTTTGGCATGAAATGAGTAAGTATTATTCCTCGTGAATCCCAAAAGGCAACAAGCATGACTTTGCCAGCCGATGGAGAGCTTAAACATTTTAGGAGGTGGTGAACCAGCTCGTTTCCACTGCTTTGACTGAGCTTTTGTCTCAGGTTCGGAATAATGAACCCACATCTCATCTCCAGTAATAATGCGGTTAAAAAACTTATCTCCTTCACAATTAAAACGACTTTAATGTTGTTTTGCATTGGTTACTCTGGTTGTCTTTTGATCTGCGGACAGCTGTCTAGGCACCCACCTGGCACTTACCTTGCTCATGCCTAGGTGTTCGTGTAAAATTTTGTGTGCCGATGCCTTACCGATGCTAAACTTGTTGGCTACCTCCGACGATTTTTGTTGACAAAAGCTTTAACATTTTGAAAGAGTCCATGATAGACGAAACACCTATCATATATCAGAGGGCAAAAAACTGTGTATACACAAGTATCATTGAAAATAAACTGACCACGTTATTGGCGAATAAATGTAGTTTTCACCAATATATAATGTGTGTATATAGCTGCACGTGGAAAGAGAGGAGCATAAAAAGTCCGGATATTTTCTTACCGTCCTTCGTATTTGTATTTACATGTATATAACAGTTCTTGATATCTATTGATATTTTAGGTGAGAATTTTATATCATATTTTGATTTCCAAAGTTCTTTTGATTTTTTTAATGTTGTTAATATTATATTTCATTAATTGAAAACGTGGCTATGGTTAAATGAACATTACATGCAGTTCGGGAAATCTATAAAAATTGAAATATTATATAAGATTCTTACCTATATTAAAATTTTGAACACATGTAAGTGACTTCACCAAGGGAAGGAGCACTTTTTAAGAAAACACCAAAAAGCACTTGAACCAATAAATCTTTTATGTAACAAACAAAACAAATACACTAAAATACCCCGTACCTAGCTTACGGCACGTGCTGAAAAGGGTGGTTTTGTAAAATTGCCTTTTGTTTGTCCATATAATTAAACAAATCATTATGGCTTATGGAATGCCTGTTTTAAGACGGAATAAATAAATTTCTTTAACAACAAGATTGTACAAACAGATTTCTTATCAAAAGATACATTTCTTTGATTACTGAACATTTCATTGAGAAATGTATGACACTTTTAGCATGTGGCAACCAAATGTTGTTTTTTTTTTAAATGTTAATGTTCTGTTCTGTTCTAAATAAAGGAAATTTAATGTATTTTTTCTGTATTGTAAATTTTGGCAAAAGTCTGACAATTACAAAGATTATTTCATTGACAAAGATTTTGCAAATTTTCATCCGTGTTATTTTTGTAATAATTAATGGAAAGGGCAACAAATTACATCCTTAACCCCCTAGCACCATTTTTTCAAAGGGATTTTACATCATGTCAGTGAAAAGCTAAACGTCAAATATGTTTCATATAATTCAGTTACTGAATATATGTTCTTGGTACTTTTTATTATCATTTACTAGTCAAAATGAGTCTTCATCTTAATTTCGCTTGAAGAATTTACATTTTCAGATTTATTTCGCTTTCACTAATTACAAGAACTATACATAGTTGACTTGATACTATACATATTTATAACATTTTACATGACACTCATTACACATTATGTTCACTTAATATTCGCAGATTCCAGGACAAGTACAACTCAACATTATATATTAACTGCAACAACATTGAGTACATCTTCCAACAAACAGAATAATAATAAAACTCTTGCCTTTAATACAACGGTTGCTACAACTCAGTCTACACAAGAAGCTTTGGCAAATTCCAATTCTTATCCTTCAATTAAAGGATATACAACAACAACGGAGTACATATCAGCACGGACTAGTTCCAATGAAGCGTCTTCAAACTTATCACTGTCGGCGACAAGCGATGCTGAGAATGGTATCAATTAGATGGTTTCTTAACTGAATCCTTTTTCAGTTTATGATGATCGGTTTTTTGTTTTGTTTTTTTTTTTTTTTTTTTTTTTTTTTTTGTTTTTTGTTTGTTTTTTTTTTTTTTTTTTGAGAAATACGTTTTTTACGGTGTTCCGTATTGACAATCGTGTCTTTATATTATCCCCACCCCACGATTCATGATGCTACGTTGGTGAAAACACGATGGTATGATGCCGAAAACACGACGGTGACATTGCGGTAAAACGAAGGTATCATTGCGATATTATATTGCATTTTTATTATCGTTTCATCGCGATTTAACAATCGTTCTTTGCGTTGTCTCGATCGTATTTTGCACACAGGTAAAATGATACGTAGTTAAAAAGTCACAAATTCTAACTCATAGTTAAGTACATTTGAGAAAAAACTCATAGTTAAGTACATTTTAGGAAAAACGAATGTATGGAGCACTAGATAGCTAAATATAGCTATTAAAATCTTATGGATACATAAAGATGTTAAAATGTTTAGTGACATGATTCACTTTGTAATAAATTTTTTTAAAAGAAAACGTTTGATAATTATTGAAGACACAACGGTAAATATAAATACCTCCACATCTATTAAAATGTATACAATGACAGTTTTCTGTTATGTCCCTATTCTTGTTTGCTATATATTTGTTCGTGTATCCAAAATAATATGATATTTGATATCATAATATTTGTAGCTTTTCTCATTTTTACATATGATTGAACGAGTTGGAATATTTGTGTTAGGTAACATACCGCGTTTTTTTTATTTAGATAAGCTCATTAGTGGTTAACCAAAAGAACTTATCATTCTGTAATGAAACGCAAGTAGGTCTAGCACAATACTGATGACATAGGCCTTTTTGTTGTTTCCGCCGATAGCGAGAAACAACTATAATAATCAATTGTCAATCGGTAAGTTCTGAATAAAGAGGTCCATGATATTATAATATGGTATGATTTGTACATTTCAGAGTCTGTCGGTGTCGTAATAGGAGCGGTGTGTGGCTCTCTGGCTGGAATAGCAGCAATTTTAGTCGCCATCATCGTATTGTTGAAAAAAAAGAAATGGAAGCGTAGATTAGGTGTAGAACCAGATAATTCACCGGAAAATTAACACAAAGCAATTGAACACATGATTAACAGCCTAACTTTACAAATGAGAACAATAATGTGTGTGTTGCATAAATCTGCCATAAAGAAATGCTGTATATGGCCTTTATTTTATTTTTTTATGTGTTGCATATTTGCTTTTTATGTGCCTACAACTGTTACGTATATAAGCAGGGGAATCTCGGTCCCAACCACATTTAGTGGGCATTTTTAGGAGAGCTGTAACACACCCTTTTCTCAAACGATATGACAGGATCTGAGTCACTTGAACCCCCCTCCCCCTGATTGAGTTAAGGATCCAAAGGTTAAAGACTGTATCTCCTACTATGGTAGGTTTCTGCAGTGTCATTGGTCATTGTGGTAGTGTTTGAGTATGTGATAGCTGCTGATCAGCATTTCCCATATTTTGTTATGAGGTTAACAGCTTTTAAACCTTTTTTATTGCCTTACTTTTTGTTTAATTTAATATTGATTTTATATATTTACTTTATTTTTCTTCTGAACTTACCACGTATGATTTATCTTTGTTTTAGGCCAGTTCAAGATCAGCGACAGCCACATAAAACATCTCAAATTTTATTTTGATGCATGTACATATTATTTTATATCCATATCTTCATGGTTGAATAAATATCAGATGCTGCTACTGACATAAGCTCATGCAGCATGTTGGTCTTTGGGTCAGTCTTACTGAAATAAATCTGATTCCTCATTTTCTTTTTTGTTTTAATCCTGATTATAAGGTTAAGTGTATATAAAATGAAATACTTATATGTTGTAATGTTCTGTGATATTTGCTTGTTGTGTGATATTTGCTTGTAATTAATTATTATCTTATCAATATTAATTATCTTTTGCTTCCTTTGCTCTGTTTGCAATGGCATAATTATAAGTATTTTATATGGAAGTCAAAATAACTTTTTGTTTTCATTTAACTACCTTTATGAAACATAATTCCTCGTTCATCGCTACTTTTGTCAGTTATAAAACATCTTATATGCTCTAAATCCATAATTAAACACATGTTTTACATCTCTAAAAGAATGAAAAAATATGGATTTCTGAGGCATAATGTCCCTTATAATGAAAACATAAACTAAACTATTCCAAAATCAAACCTATAATAAATATATTGCACAAATTTAGCAGGTTAATTGTTTATTTGTATAAAACGGCCGAATCTTACATGATTTTGAATAAGACGGATGATTTACAGCGGACTGACACGACTGACTGCGGATGTGCCCCTCTGTTCATTATTTCAGGCACGAACATTCGGTAAGCTTGCTCGATAGCTGTCTCGAATTAAGTAAGCCCCTACCGGGATTCAAACCCACAGCGATTTGGGCAAGTGTTGTGAGGTCAAAGACCCTAACCACTTGGCCACGGACGCCCAATTGTCTAGTCTCTTTTCGGTGTGTTGGTGCTGTTTTAGTGTGTCTGTTAACACTAAATGTGTAATTAGCTTTCCGTTAAAGCAGTTTCACCGAGATAATAAGGAAATCTCGAAAATTATCCTGTCCCGACATGTCAAAAAACATGAATCACTTTAATACAATGTTCTAAGCGGAATTCAAATGAAACAATCAGTTGCATTCAATGTTTTACATAGGGGTGCTGCAAATAAATCAATGAAATAATAAATAAACGAGCAAGTCATTGTCTTTTATAACTTTATTACTTTAAACTAAGTTAACAATCGCCAAAGTTTTTAACTTGAAGGGTACGGTGTCCACATCTTTGTTTTTCGTATTCACAGCTGAAATATAAATTATTTGGAATTTTATTATTACATTATAGCAAATTGATTTCCAGTTAATGGATGCACTACACTTCATTGTTCCACACAGTTTATCTGACCCTTCTTGATAAATCATAGAACTTCAGTAATCTTCGGCATTTTCCGTAGTATTGGAAAGCTTGTAAGTTGGCACTATTTTGTAGTTCCTCGTTGTAAAATTGACTTTTATAATAAAAAAAAATAAATAAAAAAACGGAAATTTACGAATTATGCCAAATTTTCACGATATTGCAACTTATATATTACATTATTGTCAGTTGATTATATTTCAGTTACGAATTAACCTCAAATCGGACTAGAAATCCTTGGATTTAGGATTGTTGGTCGCATGGGTTCAAACCCAGTCAGGGAAAAGTCGTGTTTTTTTTAGCAAGAAACTTTACATTCAGTGCTTAGTACTGGTTGGTTCGAAGAACGGAATCGAGAGTAATTCAATCAGTTTATAGCTCCAAACACAATCAAACTAAAATAAATCTGTATAAACTATATCATTTTTATTTTCTTGACTAATATCAAAAGCAAAGGAAACATTTACTTGAATAATTATCATAGTAATCATTTTTCAATTTAGTATATTTGATACTAAATAAAACATCACCTTGTATACAGCTAAATTAATGACTGAGAAAAAACTTACAAGTTGGCGTAGGTAACTCCGTCAGTTCCACAAACTTTTTCTGTATCATTTGGGCATGTCTCATGCATCAGTTCCAAGCAGAAGAAATCTAGAAGTTCGTTATGATTGTTGAAAATTGATTCCCGGGTTGTTGTTGAACCTGCCATTGATGTGACGCCATTCGTGACGCTATTTGTTACCATCGGAGCAGCTGTTGATGTCACAATAGGACCAGGCGTTGCGGCGGTGGCTGTACTACCTTTACAAGGTCCATCCTCCTTTGTCCGGAGATTTTTGTCGGCGCATTGGGCTTTAGCCAAGTAGCACCTGTATTTAAGAAGCATTTGCATCAAATGCAATTTTCACACATCTGATAAAAAGTGTTAAAAAAATGGTCAAATATTACACATTGGGCTTATAATCTTAAATTTAAGTCTGCTGATGGCACATAATTTCCTATTTCAATTCGACCTTTTAGTGCGACCATGACCTTTGCCATTTTGTATGCTACACACTGTATCACAATGGTAAACAGTTGAGCAGTATCACATTAAAATCTATCGATACACGATATACACGTTGACCTTTGACAAGAAACATTTGCACGACATAACATCTTAAGGTCAGCAACAGCTGTGTCAATCAATATTGAAAGTACCTCCATGCAGTTGATATGCCCTGAAAGAAACCGAATGCTGCCTGGACGTCCCAAAGACGGACATTTATAGTATGTTTTTATATATTGGAATCAAAACAGTCCTTACATTATATTTTACACGCAGACAGCAACAAACATATTACTATTATGTACATATTTGAGAAAAAGTAAAATGTCACAATTCTCGTTGTATTCGTTACTTTTCAGCAGAAATACGTAAGTATCAAAATGTCCGTAGTATTACTATCTATTGACAAGTGCTCAAAGAAGAAACAAGAAATATTTTTTTAAAAAAAGGATAGTCGGCCGGAGTAAACATGGTTAACTTGCATAATTATGCTATTTCTTAGTTTTCGATACAAAACGAAATGTTAGCAATGCTTGCATAACAGTGACAAATAATTATTTTTGTGGCTAATATTAAGCTCATGTTGTAAACGCTGAAATTGAATTATATCATATTAATATTGATGTGAAGGACAACGTCTATTTTACTGTATTGATTTAAGTGTCCCTTTTTCTATGTCTTATTTTTTTTACTTTATAATGGTAAGAAATATCACTTTCATTTTAATTTAGAATGTCAAGAACTACCCTTTACATTATATTTTAGTGTGACCAATTTCAGCTTGTAATTTGAAAATGACCAATGATTATTCTTCTTTTATTCTGTCCTTCCCTGTTAATTTTACAGGAAGTCAATCTTAAATCAGACGGACTACGGCCGAAAAAAAAAACACATAAATATCACAACGTCACACGTACCTGTTGTTGTATGTCTTACCATCAGTACCACATATTTCACCTGGTGTATATGTCGCACAATTCAGTTTGTTGACCCAGTTACAGTTTAAAAACTGTCCATTGGCAACTGTAAAGGAACACAACAGTCATTAAATTCTTATACTCGGCCACGTGATTTTTTTTTTTTTTTTTTTTGGGGGGGGGCTGCGAACGCCAGAAAAAAACAATACAAAATGACAACAAGCCAGATAATATTTTCTTCCATAACTTTTTAAGTATTTGATTATTTCTAACGCAATTATGTCTAGGGCCCGCACATTTTAATGAGATAATCCATAAAGAAGGAAAATCATTTATATTTTCGTAAAGTGAAAATTATTAAACTTCTAACATGTCACTTTTCTTTATATTTGAAGTGAAATTTTGAAATGTAAGTAAGACGTAAGATTTTCTGTTTATACCATTTATAGAGACGTGTCGCTTTAATTAAACAAAAGATAAAACGATGGTGCTGTTTTTGACATGACAGGACTGGAAATAATATATGATTTTCAATTTATTTTTGATTATATGTCATTACTACCTATAAAAATAAGATTTTTTTGTTGAAAGAGTGTCCAGCTAATCTGTGTAGGTAATTCAAATTCAAATTTAATGTTCTAAGATTTCGGACGTCAGTGGAGGTACTTTAAATGTCATAAATAGTAGGTGTAATTTGGACAATTCATACGGAAAGCTACGGAAGTTAAATATTTCAACCTCACGAATTCAAATTTCTTCTTCACAAATTCATGATTTCAACATCATGAAAATTAAATCATGAATTCGTGTGATTAAAATTGTGGATTCACGAAGCTGAAATTATAAAGTAAAAAACGTGAATTCGTGAAGCTAAAATCGTGAATTGATGAAGTTTAAATAGTGAATTTATGAAGTTGAAATCGTGACTTCATGAAGTTGAAATCGTGCATTAGAGAATTCTGCATGTTAAAAATCGTGAATTCATGAAGTTCACGAGATGAAATCACGAATTCATGAAGTTGAAATGTCCCCGCCGGTCTTTTGTTTAAAAAAGTGATCTTGATTTTCTGTCTGAATGTTAAGCTAGTTTTTAGAGCGTTTTATCGGGATACTGCCTACAACATTTTCACTTCGACCGAACTGGATTCGACATCTATAACATTCTCAAGAAAAGATACATGGGGTTGATATTTTGCATGCCTGACACTAAGTGATGATTGTTTATGTGTATAGCACAAATTTCCTTCATATATTTCAACCTAATTTGAACAAAACAAAAAACAAACAAAAAAAACAATGTTAATGGATTTTCTGAACCCTGACGTTTTAACCCGCTCCAAATATATTTTATGAAATCAGAAAATAAGATTGTATTTCCAATCAATGTTATGATGTCCCCTTAGGGCCATCGCAACACACTCATGCATAACTCGAAACAACGACATTGAAATCATCATTGTAGTTTCGTATTTTTCTACATAGATCTTGGTTTAGTTCAAGTGTAACTTCTGATTTAACTTATAAAGATCACAAAAATATATTATAGTTTATTCTATAAAAACCCTTCAGACTTGTACCTTCTTCAAAATCAGATGGCATCTTTACATAGATTGTCATTCAGTGCACATGCTTAACAGGAAGGCGAAACTTCAGTACAATGGATAAATGATAAAATATCGAAGGTACGACGGTGAGAATATGAAACTACTTGATGAAAAGTTGGAACTATAACCATACGATGGTGAATAGTCGAAAGTACGATGGTGAAAATTCGAATTAACGAAACGATGAAAAGTTAAGTACAATGCTGAAAAGCGAAATAACCAAACAAAAAGAAACCACGGTGGTGAAGGTCGAAAGAACGAAAGAACAATAACGAAAACACGAACAGGGTTCCCACGGTCAGGGAAAAGTCAGGGAAAAATGATTTTTTTTCAAGGTCAGGGAAAAGTCAGGGAATTTTGAAATTGGTCAGGGAAATTTGAAAAATAAGCAAAAGTCAGGGAAAAGTCAGGGAATTTTGTAGAAAATAATGTTTGTCAAACAGCAAGAAGCAAAATAAGTAAAAGCTAAGGCAGTTTCTTCCATGACTTTGTGTATCTTTATTGTTACTTTTGATTATGAGCATCTGTTTTATTTTTATATTCTGATTATGCTTTTGTCTGAAGATTTTGTCATTAACAGTATCTTTTTAAGAAAGAAGCTAAAAGAAGTTTAAGCATCCCTTGCCTCCTGAGCTGTTTATGGTTTGTTCTTGTGAAAGAGTCTGATAATCTGCTCAGGAGGCTGAAAAAAGATGAAAATGGACCTGCTAGTGAAGTCAAATGCCAAGTGCAATGCCTTCAGGGTCAAGGTCAAAGAAAAGTAATAAAAGAATCCAGTAAAGATATTGAGAAACTTGTGAAAACACTAAGTGGACTTAGATTAAGTACCAATCATTTTAGTGCCATGTTGTGTTTTTGCATATATGCATTAAACCATAACTTTGAGATACTATTCACTGCCATTGCTAGTTTTATTAGTAGTATTATGAGCTTTTACTGCATTTTGCTTTTTAAGTAGCCACTTCATTACCTGTCTTATTGTTTCTTGTTTAACACCAGTTTCTATCGATTACTATCATATATTTTATTAAAATGCAGGCCTGTTTTAGTCAATCCTCCATTGATAACACTGCTTTGTATTGTTAAGAGAATGAAACATCTTTCAGCATAACATGTACTATCAAATATTTTACATTTTGGACAAATGTACTCATACTTGTTAAAAGTAAAGAAGACAAGTAGCTTATGACAATTGCTCGCTCATATTCATTTATTTTTTATCTTGAATAATTTAAAATAAAGAATTGTAGAAAATAGGTTGGCTGTTTGGGGAGGAGGAGGTCGAAATACATGTATAAAAAATACATTAAATGCTCTAAGATTGAGCAAACTTCACGCTGTTATTGGTCAGGGAAAAATGGATTTGGTCAGGGAAAAGTCAGGGAAAAGTCAGGGAATTTTGATTTCTCTTCTTTGTGGGAACCCTGACGAAATTATATTGAGTTTCGTCATCGTGGTTTCGTTATTTCTACTATTCACCATCGTACTTTTGATTTTTCATCATCGTACCAACCGACTTTTCGTGTCGTTATTTCATCATCGTAATTACGTGTTTTAGTTGTTGTGTGTGTGTTGCAATGGCTCTAACGGGACACCGTAAAATGGCCAGTAAGTCCACACTAATGAAATTTATCTTATTTGCGTAATAATAAAAAAACTAAGTTTAAAATCAGTTTTAAATTTCTCTAATCACAGCATCATTCGGTCATCACTGGCGACGGTAATACGGTGTGTTAATTGCCCAAGATGAATAATTGAAAGATAACTCCCAGAAGTAAAAGGCCTTACCTGCGCAAATTGTTGCTAAAACAAAAAAATATCCAAACATATTTGTGTTTCTCAAAATTTTATTTTGGCTATACTTTGAAGGCACTAAACGTCAAGAAGAACACTGATTAAGAGCCAAGCTTATCTATTGATGTCTGAAACGTGTATCCTTATCTCCTGTCTTATGTAAATAAGTTTGATATGACTTTTGTAACTATTAAAATCTTCTATCACTTTTCTATGTCACGATTTTGGTCTCCAAAAATCTTTAAAATCTTGGTTTAAACATATATATTCAACGTATCATTAAACATGTAATAAAGTATTTACAAAAAAAACATTTTGGGATGGGACAGAAAGCTTTAAAATGAGTGTCAGCTTCATCTCTGTTAAAATATTCGATGTGACTGAATGAAAGCGCTACTTGTAACCGACGAATACATACTTTGCCAATTTTATCACATTTAATTTTTTTTTTAAAATGAAAAATCAAGTTTTTTTTTTTTTTTTTTTTTTTTTTTTTTTTTTTTTTTTTTTTATAATTATACTGATTAACAACCAAAAACAAACTCATATTGAAAACAAACATAATAGTTTCAGTTTTATATAAGTTTTAAAGGGACTTAACTGAGCTATTTTGGCATGACAGGACTCAAAAATACTTTTCTGATATTTGTGTTTCATTTGAAAACAAGAATAATATCTTGCATGCCAATTTTTAGATCACACCCTCAGCACGTCTTTCCAGAATTCTTATTTTTATTGTCCGAAATGACCCCAGAATGAAAAGCGTTGCAACACTTTCACTCAAATGGAGATTAAAATTACACACCAAAATCCATATCTAATTTCTTTTTAGTATACATGTACATTTATTTCGTTATCATCTTTTGTAGATTTCTTCACTAGAAGTACTTTACCTGATCTTGAATGAAGAATTTCTATTTTTTTTAAGTTTTTAGGTTTTCCGACCTCAGTGGAGCTCCTTTAAAGTTAAACGACCACTATGACTATAACTTACCGGGCACTTTGTACATTAAATATCATCTTCTAAGATATACTATTCATATATTAAACTCCTTTAGGTGAACAAATGGCAGCCCAAACATCAAATTCCTCTTTTCCTATCTTCACAACATGACAATTCCGGTATTTAAATTCTGAAGGGTAAGACTTATACTTTAATTCAATAGATATCTTTAGAAAGATCTAATAAAGAATCCTTAAATGCCTAACTAATTTCTTTAATGATTAACTTATGATGATGTATCCTCAAAGCTATTTTGATAATTTTTATTCTTTGTATCTCTTGGAAAATATCAATGAAAAGCGGCCTCTGTGACTGGGTACTGAGAACCTATAATCCCTCACCGTTGTCGATTTGAATCCCGCCCGAAATTGGTATTCTATCTTGTTATGGAAGGTCGGAAAGTTGTGGAGAAGGAATGTTTCCATATACGATCTGATCAGTGCAAATGTGAATTAAAACTAGTATATAATTATCCAATGATAAATATGGAAAATAGACATAATAGGAATTTTGTTTCGCCTTGTACAAGCAGGAAGATATATTACTTTTGTTATACACAGTTCATCATTTATAATACATTTTTCACACTATACAGTAAGGCTGTCAAAAAGCAGGAATGATTATAAAACATAATGCTATGTTGAACGAAATATTCTTTTTGCATATAGCAATGAAGATGGTATGTAGTAAATGGTCGTTATGAAAATATTAATTTATGTAATAACAGTATTGAAGATATAATACATCTTTAATCTTACACTTGCCATTTTATAAAAAGGTTAGTAATCAGTTAATTTTAAGTTTCTAAATTTAATTGAATATCTCAGTACGCAGAAAAAAAATCAAAATGAATTTAAAACCATGTCTACAGAAAGATGAATTATATATACATATTTGTCTTTCATTTTATTAGATCATTTAATTCTGTTAAAAGATAATTAAAAAAAATCGGTAATCTAAATAGAATAAACGGGGTCAAAACTATAAATAACTGTCAACATATAAATATCGTCTGTCTACTATGATGCTATGTTCTCACCGTGGATCAGATCAACTCGATCGTCCCGATCACATTAATTCCCCGATGAAGCCCGACCAAGCTGGATTAAATGCACATTCACGCGACTTCTACACGACCTCAGTCGACCCTACACGTTGTTTTACGACTTCTTCTCGACGACAACCCGACCAACATCCCGACTTCTTCTCGATCACCAACGAGTCATACACGATCTCAACTAGACTATCTGGACCTCTGCTCGATCGTTGCAAGATTTCAACCCGACCAGTTCGGATAATGCTCGAGTAGAAGTCGAGATGATCGTGTACAGATCGGGTAAGAGATGTATACCCGACCAAACTAGATCTTCTACTCGATCACTATACGATCGAATCTCGGCCGCTTATTTACTCGATCGCTACTCGAATTTTGTAGACATGTCAAAAAAAATCGGGTAGGAAGCCAGAGCCATGCCGACCAATGTAGATCGCTCCGACCACCCCCGATCACGCATGCAGACTGAACTAGACCGGTACCCGATCGCTTGATCGTGCTTGATGAAGTTGATCTGATCGACGGTGAGAACACAGCATTAACATTTTCTTTACTCGTTTGTACTGGTGATTGGATAACAAGTTGCACATGCTTTCTACCTCGCGAAAATGTGATGTCAGCGGGTGGTTTATTGAAATAGTGGATGCTGTTAATATGAATTGTCAAAGGTCAACCATTATAATTAGAGTAGTAAAACAATATTTGATTTATATAAAAAATGGATAAATACATGTGATAGAAAGAGCAGCGAAACACGAGGCTATCTGATTTGTAGGAGAGTATAAATCATATTGCCAAGTTTTTTTATGTTTTTTCTCATTGTATCTTAGCCTAAAATAAAAACACGTTCCATGTCGTTACAATATGAAACCCAAGAAAGACAGTAAGCAATGTACGAGCATCTGAATATGACTTTTCTATCATTATCCACAACAAGTAAACCCAAGAAAATGCTAATCAACGAAACATGCGCTATTTGACAGCGCGGTATTGGGAGTGCAGGTAACTAATACCTGTTAATTGTTCAACATAATAATCATTATGTCAAAATCAATGTCTTTAGAATGATATCTTAAACTTCTGTAGTTTAATTTTACCAACGCATGAGTTTGTTATTGCAAGAAGTGATTTATCACGTGAGATACATAGTCTATACGGATATATCATATCTAGCTTGTACGATGATAAGATCTGGCCAGTTTGTGAGACTTGTACAATAGAATTTGTTCTATTACAACAAACCAAAATAGTATCAGAGGGACCAACTGCTACACCACAAGGTTCCTGTATTTGTTCATCCTTCACTACGACCCTCGTGTTTGTCTTGACGTCATATATGTAGACAGTATGCTCGTCTCTATCCGTAAGCACCACTTTATCACTGCTCCTTATGTAAGTGCAAGCGCTTTTTTCTATAGGATATGCCTTGTTTGGAAAGTTGATATTGAAATCTTTCTCTTTCCCTTTAGATGATATGATAAGAACAGGTGTTGAATGGTCAAATGTCCCGCCAACAAAATGTTCATCATCTTTTAGACAAATCGAGCCATATTTCGTTGTCACTTTGATTGTTCTTTCTAAAGTTATGTCATTAGATTTGTTAACACGTAGAATGTCTACCAATAATTTAGCATCACTTGTTATCGCTACTTCATCTTTAGATACTGCAACAACAGATTGGGGCATATAAGATAACTGATATGATCCTACTCTCTCAAGCTTTTCATTGTAAACTAAGAATTTCCTGTTAAAATTATCAACGGTGACAAGTCTACCATCTGGTAAGAAATCAATCCCTGTATACAATGGTTCTTTTTCTTTATTGTTTTTCTGCTTTAAATTAGTGGAATTGACTCGTGTGATACTCATTGCCTGGCTAACAGGAGCTAGAGCGTCGGTTGTTTCTGACAGATGGAACTTTAGAGACAGTTGTCCTGGAACATAATCTGTGATTGGTAGAGGGGGGAGTTTTAATGTTTCATCGAAATCAAAATTTACAATAACGGTCTCTAAGCCTTGGCATTCTGCATCGACATTTTGGTCAAGAACAATGATGTCATTCTTCATCTTCTGCTCTACTATAAATTGTTGTACTATAGTTCCACTCTGATACACATTATTAACGGTTTCAAGATACGTTGATATATCAGCCAGATATTTCTCGTTCTGTGACTGCTTCATTGTCATCTTTTCTAATGTCTCTTTCTGAAACCATTTAACGTCTTTAACAACTGAAATTTCTAACTCGTCAAACATTTTCATTACTTCATTACGCATTCGCCTGATTTTATTTGGTATTTCTTTAACATCTTCATCTAGTTTCTCTTTTGAGGAGGCAATGCTGGCAACGATCAATTTAGCCTTCTGTCTCACTTTCTCTAATTCAACCGTTAAAGATGAATTTCTGTAGGTTGACCTTCCAGCGACCTTTTGAATTTCCACAACGTTGTGACATTTACGATGATCAACAATAGCACATGTACTGCAGCAGAGCTGATTCTCATCTTCGCAGAAGAATTTTAGAACTTCCTGATGTTGATCACATTGGTCTAATCCTTTCATATCAAACGAGCCTTGTTTCGTTCTCGCTGCATTCGCGTTCAGTAACTTGTGACTTTTTAAATAATCGTGTTTGTAATGAACGTTGGAACAATCCAAACACTGGAATTCACCACATGTAGAACAAAACTTTTCGGCTGTCGATTGTTTATCGTTGTTCAAACATGGTTGACACAGAATTGGTTCCACAAGTCCTGGGACTTCATCGTTTCCCGCATTTATAGCACAACTTTTCGCCATGTTAAATCAAAATCAGTCACTAGCAATGCAGTTTTAAATGCGTTTCTTTTAGTATAATGGTTAGTTTTGTGACACCTTCGTGGTTTTGTATAAAAGTTCCGCATCCGTTCGAGAAAAAAGGCCATTTTATTATGTCAGCTGTATTCGTGAAAAAAAAACAATGTTAAGGAAATTAATACTTATTGTCTTTTGATTTAAAATCGTGCAAAAACGTTTTACATTATAGACATAGCACTATTTTTAGATTCATTACATCAATCCATATATAGCGATGCAAATAAGGATTAACCTCTGCATTACTTTTACAAAAAATACCAAATCTTCACATTGACTAATGTTATAACAACTTTTTTCTAAGCTCCGCATATCTTAGACACACTATCAAAAAGTGAAACTCTGTTTCAACTGTTTTCATGTTATAGGATTTACATATAGCCGTTGCGCATGCGAAGTGTTCGTATGTCTTCCAGTTTCAATAAATAACTTTTATGGAGATATACGGATTTTTGATAAAGTTGTCATATATTTTCTATCTTGTACATAATCAATATACTTCTCGCGTTCAAATATATGTGTTTAAATAAACTATAGCTTTGTACTCTCGGAGAATCATTTGATTCTGTGAATCATTACTGCTTATAAGTAAATAAATGTTTTATTAATGTGTCCTATGTAAACATATACAAAGCAATTAACAAACAAAACATGGAATAACACTTATATACACCCGGCCCAATGGGCCTATAAGACACAACTAACAATAATCTAAAAACAAGTGAACAATATAAAAGGAATGTATGGATCAAAAAAGATTTTTATGTACTTCTCATTGAATTTTGTTTTAGTATTCTAAGTAGTTTAACAATGAGAGTGTACAATATATTAGAAATCTTATTCGTCAATTTTGTCCATAAATATATTTGACAAATATGAATACAATGACCAAAATTTACAAGATACATTTAAAGACCCATTATGCCTAAAATTGCTTTTATTTTCATTTCTTAAGTTGTTTTTTTTTTTTGTTTTGTTTTGTTTTTTGTGTGTGTGTGTGTGTGTCTTGCTATACTTTGTGAAAAGTTACTCACTGGCCAATAACCTGAACCATCTTTTGCCTCAGTTACATTTGGCAATAAGTACAGTTGTAGTGATTAAGTATTTTTTATGAAAGTCAAAATACTAATTTCCTTATATCTTTTTACTTTTATGACACATAATTTCACTTTCTTAGCTACTTTGCTAAAGTGATAAACTACTCATATTTTAAATGTCATAACACTCATTTTTGATCTTTCACAAGAAGAAAAAAATTATTCCTTATTGAGTCATAATGTGGCTTTAAGTTATCTTTCTGAGTCATAATGTGCCTTTAAGTAACCTTTCTTGGTCATAATGTGCCTTTAAGTTACCTTTCTAAGTCAAAATGTGCCTTTAAGTTACCTTTCTGAGTCATAATGTGCCTTTAAGTTACCTTTCTGAGTCATATTTGCCTTGAAGTTACCTTTCTGAGTCATAGTGTGCCTATAAGTTATCTTTTTGAGTCATAATGTGCCTTTAGATTACCTTTCTGAGTCATAATGTGCCTTTTAGTTACCTCTCTGAGTCATAATATGACTTTAAGTTACCTTTCTGAGTCATAATGGTCCTTTAAGTTACCTTTCTGAATCATACTGTGCCTTTCAATTATCATTTCCATACCTTCAATTACAACAGATCCTTTTATAAAATATATGTATTAGCTGTTTATAGAACCTTTTAACAATGGTATAAAGTTCAAGATATGTTTAGGTATGATATGATATGATTTCAGTAAAGAATACTTAACTTTGTAACTTAAACATTGCTTAAAACAAAAGCAGAAATTTAACATTTGTCAAATTCCATTGATAAGTAATGGTTAGGCTAAAATAATTATCTAAACATAAAACAAAATAACCACGTCACTGCAATGCATTATATATTAGAACATTAAAATCTTGCCAAACCATTTTAAAGTCATCGATATCAACTCTGTCCTACATTTACAGTTAAAAAATTATTAAATTATAACTTTCAGGAATATTTAAGATTATTAAAGCATTAAGAATCGACAATATATAACAGTATCGGCATAAATTACAACGTAAGCAAAATACAAGGCCAGTGTTAGCCTTGTAGCAATATGAAACTGTTTCCTGCATTTTAACTCTGACATGGGTTGTTGGTTCGAGCTCTATTCTGATTACAAGCATGTTTCCTCTGCCTGATTTGTCTCTTCTTGTGTCTCTGCAAATGAATCTGCAGTATTTAGTTGTGCTATGCTGATTATAGGGTTCTTACAAGCGAACGAAAGTCCCACCGATCTCGAATATCGATAGGCGGTAACTGTCATCCGTTAGCACGTAACCCTTAAGTTTAGCACGTGACCCTTTTCTTCTGTCCTCAAATATTCCTTTCTTGTGGTATATTTTATTCTAATATTCTTTTCTTATAATATTTCTTTCTTTTCCTATGATATACCTTTCTTTTCTTATGTGTCCTTTCTTTTCTTAAGATACTCCTTTCTTTCCTTATGAAATTCCTTTCTTTCCCTCCTTTTCTTATGATATACCTCTCTTGTGATATTCCTTTCTTATTATATTCTTTTCTTATGATATTCTTCTCTTATGATATTCCTTTCTTATGGTATTCCTTTCTTGTGATTTTCCTCTCTTATGATAGTTTTCTCGTGTGATATTCCCTTCATATAATATTCCTCTCTTATGATATTCATCTCTTATGATATTCCTCTCTTAAGGTATCCCTCACTTGTGATATTCCTTTCTTATGATATTCTTTTCTTATGATATTCTTCTCTTATGATATTCACTCTTATGGTATTCCTTTCTTGTGATATTCCTCTCGTATGATAGTTTTCTCTTGTGATATTCCCTTCATATAATATTCCTTTCTTATGATATTCCTCTCTTATGATATTCCTCTCTTATTGTATTCCTTTCTGTTAATGATTTTCCTTGCTTATGATATTCCTTACTTATGATATAATGGTATTCTGAAATTCCTTTCTTGTGATCATACTTTATTCCAACTTTCCTTTCTTCTGAATCAGAAGACAGGAATATCATTAAATAATATCAGAAAATCTGATATTAAATTCTGATATTCTTTTCTTCTGATATTATTGTATTTTGATATTCCGCCAGTCTAATAATATTTTATGCCGATATTCCGCCATTCTGATAATATTTTATTCTGACATTCCTTTCTTCTGATATTATTTTATTCCGATGACCCTTTCTTCTAATATCATTTTTTCAGATATTCCGTTCTTCTAATATTGTTTTTCCTCTGATGTTCTCATTTTAGTCAGATACGCCCTCCATTTCTTTCAATTTTATTCCTGTACATATCGACCCATTTTACTATGTTCTCACCGCCGATCAGATCAACTCGATCGTCCCGATCACATTAATTCCCCGATGAAGCCCGACCAAGCTGGATTAAATGAACATTCACGACTCCTACACGACCTCAAGTCGACCCGACAACTCGACCAACATCCCTACTTCTTCTCGATCACCCAGACCTATACGCCAGATGTCAAATACACGATCTCCACTATACTAAGTGGACCCTCTGCTCGATCGTTGCTTTAGATTTTCCACCCGATCCAGATCGTAAATGATCGTAATCGAAGGTACAGTGAAAAAGTCGTGAAATAGAAGTCGTAAGATGATCGTGTACAGATCGGGTAAGAGATGTATACCCGACCAAACTAGATCGTTACACGATTTATTCTCGATTAACTAGATCTTCTATTCGATCACTATACGATCGCTTCTCGGCCGCTTATCTACTCGATCACTACTCGTCAAAAAAATTCGGGTAGAAAGCCCGAGCCATGCCGACCAAGGTAGACCGCTCCGACCACCCCCGATCACGCATGCAGACCGAGCTAGACAGGTACCCGATCGCTTGATCGTGCTTGATCGAGTTGATCTGATCTGCGGTGAGAACACAGCATCACAGTTGTACATCCATACGTTGATAAATTATATTTGTCGATTAACTTGCTTTTGTCGCTTGTATTTTTTCAAATAATGTTTGAGTCTTCTTGACCCTCACTGCCGTTCTCCACGGTTGTACTAATTGTTTCTTTGAACATTTTACTTTCTCTTCCAGTTCTAGAATCTTTTTTAAATGTCACCTGTCGTTAAAATTCTTCTACAATATTAAAATCTGTGGCAATGTCTTCAACTCAATTTTACATCATTAAATAAGAGATTAAATGGAACTGGAAACATTTTTATTTCGAGATTAACCCACCATCTGATGCAGATCTAGACCAAACATTTGTGTGAAAAAAAATCAGATCGTTCGATCATTCCAGTACCCAATTGAAATTTGTAAAACTGTAATATGATAGTGGCAAAATAATAACAAATAGTATATACCTTTAATTTGTAGGTGAAAGGTCGACACAAAATATAAAAAATTCTGATCTGAGATTAAATTTTAATTGAATCTTTCTAGAATAAACTTCTTGATGTGTTTTAAACATATGGGCTCTTTGGCATGAATTGTGGTCATCTTTGCATGAATTGTGGTCATCTTTGGCATGACTTGTGGTCATCATTTTATAATATACACAGTCAAATTTCTTTTCCTATTTTTAAAAGATAACTTATAAAATTGCTAGTCCGAAGATCTCATAGCGGTTAATTTTTTTACAGTAATTCAAAGTTTTTTAAATTAATTTAGATTTGCGACATTTAAGGTAGTTTGATGAGCATGAAGGCAGTAAGGGAAAAATGGTGCCGACATTTAAACGGTAAAATAATTCTTGAAAACATTTATGCGGAATTGTGAAATTTCGTTGCGAACATTATAACGGCGCCACAACGTTCCCAGATGTTTTAAGTAGGAAATTAAATACTTTCTGTTTTAAAAGCTTTTTACGAAACCTCAGTGGTAGTTCTTTTAAAGATCAACAAGCGGAGTATTCTTTCAAACCAACCGCC